TTTGAAAAGGAATTTTTTAAGGTTAGACTTTTTCTAAGGAGTGGGAGCAAGATAAGATTTCTATTTTAAATATTAGTTTAACATTTTATAATTTTCATAATTTATAGGGATATCAGTCTTATTGGATATGCATAAAAGGTTAATGAACCCTCATAGCCTCCCTAAAATCATAAACTTGTTTATTTGCTTGCCTTAGTGAGGTGACTGTTGATTTAATTGTATTTGGCAATTACTGATAATGTTGTGATCCAATAGAAGCTTTTCTTTTAGAAGAATGTAAAAATCAACTTCCAATTTCTCTCTAAAATATGATCTGTATAAGAAAGGAGGCCCATATGCATAAACCCAGGAGTGCTACCCTACTTCAGGACAGGTTTTTCTCCAATTCTTTACTCAAACCAAATTTCTGGTTCAAGAAGAGTGTCGCCAATCTGTGACTGAGCTAACATGATACTATATCTTATCTGTGTCCTCTGTATCTCTCTCCCTTTTCTCTCAACACTCTCTATCCCTGTCAACATCTTATTGCCTCAACTGCCATTAGCAGTTAGCAAGTGGCACAAGACAACTAAACTATACCAGCCTATGAGAGATAATTGCTAAATATTTAGGAAATTTTCAAGTTGATTGTGAACCTTTGGTAGGTTGAAATCATGGCTGGAGTGTTTGCACCATAGAAATTGGCAAACATTAGTAACAACCCCTCAGTCTTCATGAGAACTGGTTTACTAGCATGCCAATGGGTATTACATTGCTCAGGGTATCTTGCATTTTCACTAGGTACTCCTGAAAATCTCAAAGATTCAAAATGAATTTCCATGGCTGGGACTTCTCTAATAGGAATAAACAATGAAAAAATCATTAGAGGCATTGACCAAGTGTTACCACATGGGCAAACAGCTGGGTCATCCTGCTGAAAGCTGTTTCTACTGACACATGACGAGGAGATACGGATGGTGGGAAACTATAAAAGTTCAGAAAAGCATTGCCTTTCTGGGCCAAGAAGGATCCCCAAACACATATGTACATATAACAATCCTACAAAATACAGATTGTTCTATAATAATGATCTGAATGAGCTGAATCAGACTATTTTTTCAGAGTTATTGATCAAAGCAAAGAATGATATATAAGAGTAAACTATGCTCATTAAAAAGAGTAAAGGATTTCATAATCCCACAGAGGATCTGAAGATAACCTAGCCTGTTTTACTAATAGAGAGCCAATTTAATAACCCAGTGGTTTCTAAAACTGAAAATGGAACTTAAAATCCTACTGAGATATTCAAAAATCAAAACTGCTGGAGTAGAGGTTAAAGAAATGGCCAAACGTAGTTACCTAAGTACGTCAAACTGCATTTATTCATAGTCCTAGAACATTCTCTTTAAAAGGGGAATAGACTAATGGCGCTTAATATAAATTAGTTATCTTTTCCATGTATTTCTTCCTATGTCTCACTCCTTCTTATTTTCAAATGTTGATTGTGTGCCTACTGTGTACCAGGCACTATCCTAACGATGAAAAAGTTCCATCTCACACTGTGTTTCAGAAGACTGCATCCATTGTTAAAGAATATAGTTAAGGAAGTACTATTCAAAGGCCACAGAGAAATTCTACCAGCAATACACAGAAGATTTACTTTGTGATTTGTTTATTTTAATTAGAAAATAACATTTGAAAGCTATAAAATTTTAAGTCTTTTGTTCTCACAAAAATAATCACAAAGAGAAGATTATTTGATTTCTGAGGAAAACTGTGGTGTAGCTTTAACAGCTTTCTTGGAAGAAATACAAATAAAACTAAGTATGAATAATAAACTTTAAATATAGCCAGAAGAATTCTGATTTGTAATTAACTCATGTTTCTGAAAATATGAAATCTAAAAGTAATAAATATGGATTCTTAATAATGAGCTCTTAAAACTACATTTATAGTAATCCTTTGAGTTTGTTGTTATGGTTATTTATTATAGGAAAAACAGATGTTCCTATCAAAGCATGTGAAATTAATGAACACATTTTATATGCAGGGCTCAAAAATACTGTCTTGCAAGCTGTATTCATTAAATAAAAACACCAATGAATTCATTAAATGAAAACAAAAACTCAAATCAACAATGGCAAAGCTAATAACTCCAGAAGGCTGAAATGTAGCAAAGACAGAGTAGTGATAATGCATGTAACTCTTAATGTACTGTTTATCTAAATATGGACAGTTCCTTTGCTACCATGGAGAGGACTCAGGAAGCATGGGGATCTTGTGTCGTGGATGGCATGGCAGGTTATTTGCCCAGCTTTCACTGCTGACTTAAAGGAGTCTATCTTACTCAACAGGAACCATATAAGACAAGTGTATAAGCCTTTCATGCCAGCAGGCCCGTTAATTTCCATCATGTAAAAGTAAGTCCATCTGGCCACTAGGTGGAGATCAGGTTACTCTGTCAATGATGGGGAAGCTACTTGCAGCTGCAAGTGATAAGTAAGCAGGGTATGGAGAACCTATTCTCTTTTTTCAATACTTCTATGAAAGACATTTTCCAAGCTCTGTAGGAACAGATCTATGCTGAATAAAGAGTACATAAATGAAGAATAGCTTGAAAGATCAAACGGAAAGGGAACTGTAAAAGACAAATATTTTCTTGTTATTACTGTTGCCCCTGGAATGACTTTTATTTAGGTTTGGTTGTGTAAACTACTTGTAAGTAATAAGATGAGCTGATCTAAATAACAGCAATTAAATAAGCTGTCTCATTATTTACCAAGAAGGGAAGAGGAGAGATATGACAAAAAATTAAAACGACAGACTATTAAGACAATTAGTCTTGTCTGTTTAAACATAAGAATGCATACTCATGTTTGAGTATGTTTAAATGTACATTTTTAATATCAACCAAAATGGATCAACGGAACTTAGAGATTAAAGGAGAATGTTAGATAACATCTATTCTAATTTTCCAAATGAAACTATCAATCTGAATTATATAACTTTATTACTAAATGTGTCTTGTCTCTATAATGGCTGAGCTTTATTTTATTTTTTTAGAGACAAGGTCTTGTTTTGTTGCTCAGGCTGAGGTGCAGTGGCTCAATCTCTGCTCCTGCAACCTTTGCCTCCCGAGTTCAGGCAATTCTTGTGCCTTAGCCTCCAGAGTAGCTGGGTTTACAGGCATGTGCCGCCATGCATGGCTTATAGTTGAACTTTAAACTGGAGACATAAAGTTACACATTCCCTGAAAAATGTTTGGTTTAGGAAAAGTTCAGATATTTGCACTGTGTAATGTACCTGAATATTTTGATTATTCTTGAGATTTTAGATACCATAATTCTGTTCATTTGTAATTTGATAACTATATATATTCATTCAATACATATTTATTCAGTTACATAAAAAACAAATAGATAATTTGTGATGGTTTAAAAGAAAAATTCCATTTGTTATCAAATAGTTTCAACAACTTCAATAGTACATTTTAGCATACAGGAGTGTGAGCATAAACAAACATATTAATTGCTTATTGCACCAATCATTGTGCTACAAGCTAGGACTACAAAGATGTATAATATAGCCAGAGAAGTAACTGGACAAGAAGACCTACATGATCAAAAAACAAATACAAACTCATTTTTGTAGCAGTCAAGAATAATTATCAAATGATCAGTAAAAGTCCTTTGTAAAGTTCTATTGTGAAAAATAAACTTAATCTTGACGATAAGGAAAACATGACCTTTGATCTCTATCACATATAAAATATAGAAATTCAAACACAATAGTATTTACTATTAGGCACCAGTGACTGTAATAAGAACAGGAGCTTAATTCAAAAAGAGAAGAAACTAATGTTTAGAATAATAAATGAAACAGGCCATAATTAATTGGTTTTCTAAATATTGTTATGAGTAGTGACCAACATTCAGTCTGTTGCTGCAATCAATCCATGGCACTTACTTAATGACATGTTTATTTTAGAGTTGTATATTTGTTTTAGCTTAATTAAATTAATATATTTATACCCCTCCAAAAACATTTCAGTTCTACTTTGGTTTGAGATTTTCAAAATGTTCCTACAAGCTTTTAAGGATCTAAGAAAATTATTAGTCATTCACAAATACATTTATTTCTGTTTAAGAAAAATCACAAAACTAATCACATAAAATAGGAATTATTAATCAGGTATTAATGAAATAGTTCATAGAAATTTCTTATCTTGCTAATCAGCTCTTTGCAGAACAACCTGGCTGGCAGGAACCTACTTTTCTTTTTGTTGGATAAGAAAGAAATGTAAACAGGTGAAGTTCTGTTCTGAAGATTAAAATAAATAAATCCTTTTTATTATATGTTTTAGTATATATGGTTATATAGCCGTCCTCATTCTTCAGATTAGTTCCAGATAGCAACTAGATTGATTAGATGATGACAGTCATTTCTAGAGTTGTCAGATTTCTTTTCACTTTGGTGGCCTGTTCCCATATTTTTCTCCAGTGCAGGGCTGGGTCTACTTATTGCTTATTGCTAACTACTAAATTTGCATTACCTGGAAATAAGGAAGCTGGTAAAAAACATTCTATTGGATATGTATTTTTGCTCACCTTCTCTAGTTTAGAGGTTCTGCCTTGTAATAATCTGCTGTTTCTGTTTCCTAGGTATCACATAGAGATGCTGACATTAAAGGTGATAAAAGTAAGAACAGATGCAAAGGTGCTGCTGGAAACTGGTTAGTGCTTAAGGTTAAAAAATAAAAGCTGATGATTGTATTCATATGTTGTGATGTCAGTAACCTGCACATTTAAGCACTGACAGAAAAAAGGGTACATTTTCACTTTTTCATCAATTTAGATAGAGAAATTTGTCTTTGTCTTTTTATTTTGAATCTGAAAGTTCTTTTAGTTCTTTAAGCAACTATTTTTGAGTCACTGGCCCAGAAGTTTTCATGACTGTGCACCTGGACCTAAATTTCTATTTGAATGTGCACATCTAAGAGATAAGGTGAATTCAAGTGGTACCTGCATATTTCTGTCATCTTGTCCAATCATGTTTCTCCATTCCACGAGTGATCGCTGCAGACGTTCAAGTCCAGTTTCCCAAAGCCTGATGCGACCTCCCATATCAACAGTAACAACACCACTTTTGTCCCACTCAGCTAGCAGTACATCTGTGTCTGAAATGGTAGACAGCCACGTGGTATATGGCGAGAGAGATTCTGATCTGGAAAAAGGAATCCAAACTGAAGCTAAGAGACCATTAAAAAAAAAGCAGGAAGGATGACACTTCACATTGTAATGTTTTTTACTGTTGAAAAAGTATGCTCACACTTTTTTTTACTCATTCTTTTATATCTGCTCTTACCTATGTCACCACATGAGAAGGTTATGAGGAGCAAAGTTCATAAACAAACATGCCCAGGGCTTGTAAACAACATGAGGCAGGACAATCATGAATATAAAAAAAACCAAAAAACCAGAAAGACTATTTCTATTTTAAGAAAGAAATTTTCATAATTGATCACAGTATATAACCTATTGGTAGTCCACGTAACAAAGCTGGTTTAAACTGATTTAGGTTCTCTAAACTTTCTATAAAGAATCTGCTATGGACTAAATGCTTTTGTCTCCTGAAATTTATATATTGAAGCCCTAACCCCCAATATGATAGTCTTAGGAGTTGGGTACTTTGGCAGGTAATTAGGTGTAGATGAAATCATGAGGGTAGAGCCCCTATTATAGAATGGGATTAGGTCCCTGATGAGAAGAGACCAGAAAACTTACACTTGTGTCTGGTCTCTCTCTGTCTCCTTTTCCCCCATTCATGTTAGGCTATAGCAAGAAGTTAGCCCTCCATAAGATAGCCTTCACCAGGAACTGAATTGGTTGGCACCTTTATTTTGACTTTCCCAACCTCCAGACTGAAAATAAATATTTGTCACTTAAGCTACCCACTCTATGGTATTCTGCTCTAACAGCCTGATCTAAGATAGAACTCTAATAATGAGTACATTAAAAGACAAGATATCAACAGAACTATCTGTAAGGAGCAAAAAACACACAGTAATTTACTGGTTCTCTGCATTTTCCTGTATTTGTGGACCCCAGACGACACTAGCTTCCACTGCTAGGAAGAAAGGAACTCTACACCAATTCATGCCTCACACACCTGGAGTACTGGACTCACTCTTAGAAATCTAATGTCAGTGCTGAAACCAATGTCGTGTTTATGCATTTCAACTGCATTTGTATTTGATATTTTGCCTTTTCTGACTTAGAAAGTTACACGAATCTATAACAAGGAATATACAGATTTCTTAAATATTTCACACATATTTCCTTTATTATATATTTCTGACATTTGCATTTGTGTGTATACATATATATGTATATATAGTAATTTGTAGGAATGCAAATATGTCTATAAGTGTCAACTGCATATTTACTTTATCTGAATATAGTTCTTATTATACAAAAGTGATATAGATTATAAATTCCAATCATTAGTTTTGGCTCTCAAAATGCATCTGATATTTTCCATATGAAATAGTCTAAAGAGATGGTCTGATAAGAAGAATATAATAAACTATCATTGTAGATTTGGGAAAACACAAAACCATTATATATTAGGTAAATTCTTATAATACACTAAAGAATAAATCAAGACTAATTTGAACTTTTTTCACTTTGCTTTAGTTGATACTAAACAGAGAGTGACAAGGGCAGCCACTCCTGGACACAGAAGTCTTAAGAAATGTTCATATGAGGAGAACAACAGTGGGACAGGACCATGTGTTTCAGTACTACTTTACAGGACTTCCAGAAGGGATCAAAGAAGGTAACAGTTGATACAATACATGGTACTCTTATCAAAAAATATTTGCTGCAGGAAACAACTCTGTAATTACAGATGATGGAGTAAGGAGCTATTCAAGAAAAATAAAATTTATCCATTTGTAACTATGATGTTTGAAATCTGCCAAGAACACTCAAGCTGTATGATTCCATTGAGCACTGTACCTGCTAGTTGTCACTATTTTAACTCTTCATGGCAAAACTTTACATTTACAGGCAATTTGTTTAATTTATTTTAAAAAATTACTAAAGAAATCACACATTTACTATAATTTGTACACTAGGTCTAGAATCTTTCTTAACTTTAAAAATGTTTTCCTTATAAATAATAACAAAGTTTTAAATGAACACAAAGAATTATAGTAAAGTTTAAATTTATACACAGTCACATATGAAAGCTAGGCAGTATTGTTTTACAAATACAAGTAATATAAAACTTTGAAGAAAAATATGTGAAGGCAAAAGTGATGTATTCATTTTGGCCCTGAAGTTACATACAATTTTATTGTATTTTCTATTATTTGAAATTAGCTACCAAATGGAAAATTCCTGATATCTAGCAGAATGCTAAATCTAAGCAACTAGCAAAAAAACTGAAGTCCAGATGGGTTGTTCCCTTGGATTTTATATATATGCCAAAAAAAGCAGTAGTTAATCTCAAGAGAAATTCAGGACATACTGACAATGAAGCAGACTCTGAATCACATGACACTTGAAATGTGACAAGTCCAAATGGAGATGTGCTTTAAGTGTAAAATACACACTGCATTTCAGAGACTTAGGGAAAAAAAAGGAATGTAAAATATTTCATTAAAAATTTTATGTGGACTACATGTCAAAATAATATTTTGGATATATTGAGTTAAATAAAAGATATTACTAAAATTAATTTCACCTTAAAATTTTTTAAATGTGTCTACCAAGAAATATATAATTACATATATGGCTTTTATTATATTTCTGTTGGACAGTGCAGCTCTAAATGAATGAATTATGGTGGCCAGCTGGCTCTGGACTGTGCACACAGCTGCTCTTCCAGATGTTCTTTCCATGGCAGGTATAACATGTGATTCATATAGAAAGTAAAAGAAAAAAACACTGAAATAAAAAGCTAGTGAGAGAAATGAATATAAATATTGGAAAAAATTAATAATGCTTTAGATACATTAAAAAAGATGTTATTTGCTTTTGTTACTTGAATTAATAGTATATTTTAATGAGCATACAATTAAAATCGAACATGCAATTTCCTCAAATGATTAAAAGCCATTTTCCATTAAACCAACACATTAGGATGTTCCAAGAAGTCATACTTATATATGTTGAAAGAAGTAAATCTATTCCTTTGAATAATGATTTTGTTTTCATATTTTTTGAATCTGGTTAAAGGGTCCTAAGAAATGAAGCTGTGTTTTTGAGTTATATGTACCATCATGCTAAGCTACTTTCTTCTGGCGGTTGGAGGAGCGGAAAGAAAGGAAGCTTGGTGACATTTTGGAAGAGCGACAGGTTCTGGTATCCCTGGTCTTCCTCTGCAGGCCTGCCAGGCTACTCTGCTAGAGCTTCTAACCAAGGCTTCAACCACTGTGTTGTGAGGGCTCAGTGGCAATGTGAGGGAGTACATGAGAGGAAGGGATGTGATTGCAATCTAGAACAAAACAGAGTAGAAAGATTAGAGGAAGAAGGTTTTGGTCTGGAGAGCAAAGAAAGGAAAAAAGAGGAACCTAGGCTAAGTAGACCAAAGCAGGTGCAAGCTTAGGCTGGAAGAGGGAAGTAAGGAATGGATGCACCCAGAAAGGGACGGGCTTCAGGTGACGACGCCTGTGTTTTTCAAGGGAAGAGATCATGCTTCATTGTTTCTGTTTTTATATCCTGAGTCTACTTAAATGCTTTGCTTCCACTGTGGGACAATAATGAAGGAGGTAAACAGTAATGAGTCCTATTCTAAAGCTTTGGGATCCTTTAACTATTGTACAGATTTCCTGCAGATGCATAATAACATATGTAAAAACAATATTAAAGAAATCGATTTAAATTCTTTTGATATTTTGAACACATTTACTTCAGAAAATAAACATATAAAGTTAACAAGTATTAAAATTTTTGTAATACTGAAAATGCTATTTCAGATACAGAAAAACTTAGATCAAAGAAAAGAGAACAAAGACTTGCAGGCTGTTTGACTTATACCTATGTAACATTTGAATATTTTTACAAAATGAAAATAAAAATGCCAGGAAAACATGCAGAATAACAGCAAGATAGAAACCAACTGTAACTGGAAAAAAAAGAGCTTGCTATTAAAAGAAGCAAAAAGCACACACATTTATTCTTGGTACTTAGCAAGAATTTACTCATTTTTTATGACATACTAAGCTAAGAACAAAGGTGAAATGGATTACCTGGGAATAGGGATATATCGGAGTTTCTTTGATTGAAGATCAGTGACTTCTATATAACCAGATGTTTGTGGAGGAGTAACATCTAAGAACAAGTCATGACATGAGCCAAGTATTAAATTGCTGCAAGATACCAAAATGCTGCTAAAAGTAGCATTAAGTTATCAGTAGCCTAGGGTAGAACTCTGGGATCTACTTGACAAAGTATTGGTCAACACTCATGGATAGACTCTGAGAATTATGCTTCTCTCAGGGAAGAATATTGGGCTGTGATTCTTTACTGTCAGAAAATAATCTGTTTTTTTCATTGTCTTTGATAGCTTCCCAAGATGAGTCAATGTTTTAGCACTTACTGTGTTTTTGAAAATATTTCATCATCTGAACTCTGCTTTTCCTTCTTAGCAAGAAACAACAATGCAGTAAAATGTGGTGGAATCGGCACACTCTTTAATTAGACTAACCTGGTAGAAAGTCCTGGTCCTGTCTGAGCTATGTTATGTTGGTCAAGCTGAGGCCTGCTTTCTTCACTTGTAAAATGGGGATAACAACTCCATTGTAAGATGGGGATAACAACCTCAAATGACAACAGCATCTGAGCATCATAAGCATTATCTTGAGGAGAGGATGAAATTAGTGAATGCAAAGCACCTATAGGGGTTGCTCATCACACAGTATCTGTCATTATTAGTGCCCTGCAAGGCAGGGAAAGGTGAAGGCAGTGGGGTGAGGTCTCTTGAGTTTGGATCATAATCCCAAAAGACACAATCCTGAATGCCATTATCTTGATTGTTGACATCCCAGAAGATCGATAAAAATTCCTAAAGTCTAAAATCCTAAAAATCACAATCACGGTATAGTTGTATTATGTTACAATGAGCTATTACTTTGTTACTGTCTTTGTTTGAAAATTAAGTATGATTTAAGGAGATGTGTATAGGTGCCAAGTTAACAAAGGGTATATCTGTGGACTTAATTTTAGGTGCCAATTGGACTGATTACAGAATACCTAGAAACCTGGTAAAGCATTATTTTGGTTGTATCTGTAATCTGGAAAAGAGATTAGTATGTGAGTCTGAGGGAACCAGGTAGGGAAGACTTGCCCTCAATATGGGTGGACATCATTCAATCAGCCAAGAGCTTAGAGGGAACAAATACAGAAGGTGAGTTGGTCTCTCTCCAGGAGCTGGGCCAGACTTTTCTTTAATTGCTAAACATAGTAATATGCATGTATGACTTTTCCCTTTTTGACCAATTGCTTTATAAATATGGTTCATGTGCTCATAACTATTATACTCGTGATGTCATTAGTATACCTGAGTGTTTACACTTGCAAAAAATGTATGTTATTATTGCCTATTTTATTGTGCAAAGTGGTCTGTGAAGTGTTCTGGTGTTTTGCTTGTTTGGAGACGGTGTCTCGTTCTGTTGCCCAGGCTGGAGTGCAGTGGCACAATCTTGGCTCATTGCAACCTCCACCTCCTGGGTTCAAGCGATTCTCATGCCTCAGCCTCCTCAATTGCTGGGACTACAGGCATGCACCATCAAGCCTGGTTAATGTTTGTATTTTTAGTAGAGATGGGGTTTCACCATGTTGGCCAGGCTGGTCTCAAACTCCTGACCTCAAGTGATCTCCCCAACTCAGCCTCCCAAAGTGCTGGGATTACAAGCATGAGCCACCACCCCTAGCCTGTTTGCTGTTTTTATGTTTCTCAAATAAATCCCCTTTTAAAAATGTAAATAAATATCTCTTAAATAATTTTAAAATTATTTTTTTCCAGAATTATATTCTCAAGATTTTGATCTTTTGGGATTGTGTCAGACTTTTAGACATTAGGCATATTTATTTTTCTTTTGGGATTTCAGTATCTGGGGCTATAGCGTGGGAATTATGTCTTTTGGGATTATGATCAGCTCTCAGGATTCTGGATAGAGAAGAATATGAAAAGTTGGGGAAGGAGAAGATAAAGAGATAAGGGAACCAAAGCCCTCAACTAATTCTGTAAGTGTTACACTCATGTGATGTCATTCGTATAGCTCAGTGTTGGCTTTCCAGCAAATTCCTGGGCTTTACCGATTGCTATTTCGTAGCGCTTAGTAACCATCATCCTCAAAATCATTAGCTGCCACCATGGTGTGTCAGAAACCCTGCTTAGTCTTTACAGAGAGTGCTTTTGATACTGACAACAACAAAGACTAATAATTCCTGTCTGAAAGATGAGGAAACTGAGGCTTACAGAGGTAATATAACATGACTTAACTTGGGGTGACAACAGCTGGAGAGTGATGGAGATGGCTTTCAAACCCAGGCCTTTTTAGCACTAAAATCTATGCTATGGCCACCACTGCACACAACTTCTACTTGAGCTAGCCCTAGGGCAATAGCTATTTATAAAATCATCCCATTTTACAAAATCTTGGCCACTAAGTTCTCTTAAAAAAAACTCCCTTATACAAAACCCACACTTTTTAAGATTTTGTCTATCTGTTTCTCTGTCTAGTCTTTGATGACAATTTCTGATTAGAATGATATGTCCATCCATCCATCCATCCATCCATCTTTTACTACAATTTCTGGTTGGAATGAAGTATCCAGGATGTCCACATTGAATTTATCAAGTGTAGTTTACAAAAGACAAGAAACGTAACATTTTTATTTCATGCATGCAGTTGAAGCTTTTTAAATAGGCCAGCCGAAAAACTCAACATATCTCTTATTTATTTAACAAATGTGTTTGAGTTTATTTTGTGCCAGACATCATACGAAGCAGTGGGGATATACAAAAGAAAGAGATGTGGTCTCTGACTTTGAGGTGCTCACAGTAAAATGAGAAAAGTTCTTCTTTATTAAACCACTGTGGCCTCTGGGGACTTAGAAAGGATTCCAGAGTAGGAATCACAGCCATGAGGCCAGATATGAGCTGCAGAGCTAGGCAATGGATTGTCCCAAGAGACAAACAGCTCAGCAGGAAGAAAAGGTGATGTCCAAGGAGAGGAATGGGTAAGAAAATAGAGTTACTGTAGCAATTTGACCACCCAGCTGGATTAGCTGTCTCCAAGTGGCCATTTGTACAAAATGAATATGCTTACCGTAAGTCACGCACAGTCTGCATTGGAAATTCTGCCTGTGATAGGTCAGTCTTAAATGAGGTTTTGCACCATATATTGTTTTTGACAATTCCTGCTGCTTGAACCTAGCTGAAGTAGGTTGAATTATTTATGGTCCAGGGCTCTTTGTCAAGAGTGACTAGTTATTGAAGCTGTAGAGATGAGCAGAGCTGCCTTGCTAACTAACTTACATTTTGGCTTGCCATTTAGAGGCACTTTTAAAAATAAGGAATAATATTAAGTTGAGCTACTGCCATCTGCACTTTTAGATTGCCTGTGAGAGCAAAGTAAGCCAACTTATTTCAAAATATCTTTTTTTCCTCACATCTTCCTTTTCTTTTACTTTGCTAATTAATTCCATGGTAAGAAAATGCAGTAATGACTGTGTCTACTCTTTTAAGAAGTAGAATGCAAGAATTTTACTCCTGGTATTAAAAGCTATGTTCATATGTCAGAGAAGGATACCTGTGGCTACAAAGCACTTCAGGGAAATATTAAAGGTGGTGGTAGTGATGGTAGTAGCAATAAACACTTTAAATATAATAAAAATGGATGTTTACTGATTTGAAAATAAGTCAGTTCAGACAAAAAGAATATTTACAAAAAGATTCTTGACTGAATGAAGGAAGTGAAAACTATGGCCATGTTTCCCTCCAAACTTAGCCAAGTCCTCATCCATCCATTTTAAATGTTTTAACACTGGAGTGAGGATGGAGGCTCAGTAAATTTCCATTACAGTTATAATCCAGGTGGATTTCAAAGATAGGTATAAACTGTATTTAGGGATTAGTTCACTAACCATTAAAGGGAAGTCACTGCAGCAGTGTTTATCACATAGTTCCCATGAATAGTGGGGACAGTTTACATGCACAGTGCCAAGGTTAGAAGGAGGTATTAAAAACTGTCAGGCAAAACAACCACGACAATTTTCAGAGGGAAGGTGAAATGCCATTAAAAACTCACTCCTTCTAGAAATGTAATTTGATGTATACCTGTTAATCACTGGGTTTAATACACTTCTGTGTTCACAAACAAAAAGAGTGATGTGTACCCCCAAACAGTGCTGATACCAAATCTTTGATTTCACTCAAAGTTCAAAAAAAAAAAAAAACTGTACTGCTTTCAATCAAGAAACATTATTTCATATTTAAAGAGCTGAGACCTGTGGTTTAAAAAAAGCTAACATTTAGCTAGAAGAAAAATAGTTGGAAGAAAGCAATAAATTTCTCCCCATCTGCATTAAATAAAAGCTACCTCATTATTGTGAAAGCCACCAGGAGAGTAGTCTTTACAGTTGATTTCTTTATAAAAGGCTGATATACATTAGTTCCAGACTAATTAGATGGTTGGATTTGATTTACTTTACAAAATTATTCTAGCTTGAATTTTCATCAGAGATCTACACGCACATAGAAAGGCTTAAAGAAAAATACAGAGAGCCCCTGCTTTACCCCTTGTGCCCCCTCCACCCGTTTCCTGCCCCAGAGAGACACTTTCAACTTTTAAAGCTATTTCTGTGGTATTCACCTTCATCTCTTTGACGACCTCTTGATTTTTTAGCTTCAGGCATTATTTCTTGCCTTCTTCCCAAGCAAGAAGAGAGTTTAACTCTTTTTCATTCCCCTATCCCCCACTCCCTATTTTCTCATCCCCCAAACATTCATATGATAATTTTGCTTGGATTAATATCCAGTGCTTATATTATTATAATTATGTAAATGCTAATCACAGCTTTGCTATGTCTTATATTATCATTACTTTTTCCTGTATAACTTTTTGCTTTTACTGGAGTTAATAAGCAACATGTTGTGTTTGCTTAGTTTTATTTAGCACAAATTTATTCCCAAGGTTCCCTAATTGTTAGAATCTCTAAATATGTTCAAATATATTGGGTTTACTAATTTCACTTTCTAAGAGACATCTCTCCTGAAATTTCATCTGTTCTAACCTCAGGCCTGTGCATGGCTATCACCCTGGGAT